GGGAAGCAAATCAGACCACCAAAGCTATTAAAGGGAAACAGAAAAAAACAAATAGTACCATATGCATTTCCAATCTCATTGATACTTGAGATTGAGCAGACGACGACCAGGCAAACGGCAAGCAGGAACCAGTTTAGGACAGGTATATAGATCTGACCCATAAATTTCCGAGACGTGTGGATAATTTTGAGACGAGGGAAACAGCCCAGAGCTGTTGACTGTTTAATACATGAAAATGTTGCAGTAGTCATTGTGCGACTAGCTATTAGAGCTGCAATGTTGGCTATGACAAGGACCGGCCAGAATGCAGCACCTACAGAACAGTATGATGAATAAGTCAGTAACCCGCAGCACGAAATAAGCCCTTGCCAGTGGTCTTTTTTTTGGCCAAAGAGGCATGGATATTACTGATTGAAGGAAGTAACTGAACTTTACCTGGAACAGATGAAAAGAAAGCTTGACTTGCATCCGTATGATTCTCCATCAGGTATGCAGCTTGTCCCATATAACCCAACATGAGGCACGGCAGTACGAGACACACAAATGTAAGCTGCAGAAAACAACAACGAATATATAAATCAACATTACAGAAAATTAGAACCCAGATAGCATACAAAAAAAAAAAAGGTAAACATCAGCCACCAACAGCCACTCTATTCTTTGGTTACCTGGACTGATCGAACAGAAAAATAGCAAAGGTCTGCAAATAATGCCTCTGAGCCTGAAAGTTAAAATTATATAACATGAACAATCAACAATGGAAGCATCATAATATCAGACAGAGTATTCACTATTCAGAATAAAAAGGCTGATTCAGTTATGTTAGCCTTTGCTACCGGAGTAATCTAGTTCATTTTCTGATAAAATTGAACCCATCGTACGAAATTGAGAAGTTTACCTGTAGCACAGAGGATGCAACCTCCAAGTGCATACCACGCATTTATAGAGTTCCTCTTGAAGAAGTAATAGATGTGGATAGGGTTGAATGCTCTGTAAACACTGCTATCGTATTTGACCAGGTTGTAAATTCCAATACCAGCAAGACAACAGAACCATATAAGTAAGGCGGGACCTACTACTAGCCCCATCTTACTCGTCCCATACTTTTGTAGACTAAAAAGGATCACCAGAAATGCAACTGAAATCATCACCACTTGATCTGTAAAGAAGAAACAAGTGGTATGTGAACAATAGCAAAAGATAAAATGACAATAAAAAAAAAAACCCAGCATTGACAGCTTCAAAGTTAATTACACTATTATCTGCATTACCTTGCTCAACTGCATCAACTCCAACCTTAAGTCCAGCAACAGCTGACATTACTGCCATATGCAAAATAAGTAAATAAGATAAGTCCAAATGGTAGTAGCAACCCCCCTGTTCAATAAAACAGAATGATGCCTATCGACATACTCAGAAGAGGTTATATAAGAACCTGACATTGCAGGAGTAACAACCCCATCGGCAATCACCATGGCAGTTCCAGCAAGAACTAACCCGAGGAGAAGTTTCTTCAGAATTAATGAATTCTCGAGTTTTTCTTTTAGTTTCAATGATCTCTCAAGCTCAGGGCAAGGCACCTTCAGTCTAAAACTTGAAATCCGAGCGTCTGAGCGAAGTTGGTTTGGGATAAGACTAATTTTGGCATGACGAGAGATTAGTGAGTACAACGCAAAGGTTCCACCTGAAATATCATACGTAATCAAAGCAGTTGGCACTGTATGTACAGACAATATCCAAAACAAGACTATAATTAGGAGATCAGAATAGTCTAAAGCATACCTTCACCATCATCATTTGCCCATAGAACAACAAGAACATATTTAATAAGAGGGACCAAAAGTAAGGTGTATATTACTAGTGACAATGCTCCAATGACATCTTCTTTATCTTGGACAGGTGATTTACTGAACATTACACTGAACGTATACAACGGACTGGTTCCTACATCTCCAAAGACAACCCCTAGTGTCTGGAATGCAAGTAACACTCTCCTCCCGACAGTCAAGTCCTAGCGAAGTAAAAACACAAACAAAAGTTAGGTTACCTATGCAGAGTAAAGTTCTGGCTCGCAAAAACCAGTCACAGATCATTCATCATTCACTGTTCTCCACCATCTACAGAACTTGCAAAAAAGAAGTAAAGCGTCAAGCAGAAAACTCCACAAAACAAACAGTCACTGCCCTCCGACAGTGCATCCCTTGCAAGTTTCCATCCCCCAACATGATAGATTCAAGAGCATATCTCCATTTCTAGACAATAATCTCCACATATTCCTATAAGAACTTCCACTTAATCACTTACGAGACTAGTACCACCCCTCGAGGCCTCAAATTCAGAGAAATAGTTTCCTTAATTCAGTGGTGTTTTCTAGTTCATATCCAAACTCTAGCCAAAGCAGCTAAGAAGAGGCAATTTGTTTAAGTCACTATTAAGAGTACACTCACCATGCCTGTTCATGGCTATACGTTGATATGTTTTCTACTTATTGTATAATGAAATTCACAGATACGAAACCACAAATCACCTCGTAATCATTCCTTGGAGCACCAGGAACTTCAAGAGCTTCCACGTCGAAAGAGTCAACACGAGGACCAGTACGGATCAAACGATGCTCCGCTATTTCTTCCTCTTCAGATTCCAGTCCGGTACCGTCGAATCCGTCATCATCATCCTCCTCAAGTCCGATCTCGGAATCCTCATCGTCTTGAGTAACCCATCGAGACTCGATAGAGTCCATGGATGCCAAATCTCCAAAACCACCACCACCAACTGAGCTACCGATCTCTTCCTTTTCCGAACCATCCAAGCTACTATCCTCCGTCATTTCTCAGAACTCTTCGATTGCAATCCACAATCAACGGATCAGGCGACGAAATTTGAGACGCGGATTCGAACAAAAATATGCATGAACAGTTACAGAAAAAAAAAACCTCTGCAAAGATTCTGAGGGTCAAATACGAAGACTCGTAGTAGTAGAGTTTCGCATCGGATCAAAATTTGTTTAGAATCAAAAGAGGAAGAGATGGTCTTGTTTCTTCTTTACTGGTGAATGTCGATGTTCTCAATCTCTCTGCTTTACTGGTGAACCGGTACGATCACAAAGGTGATTCATTCGAACGAATTTGAAGAATCGTACCGGCTTAAACCAGTATGAACCGGTTAACAAAATTGGGTCAATGCCTTATTGGGCCCTAGTCGATTTATTCGTCAGTTGACCTGAAATATCCTGCTCATGTGTCTCATTATATATAGAGAGATTTTGCTTTGACATAGCTCTCACATATAGCATAAGCTTTCTTGTGTTCAAGTTTGATACTTAATCATATGATCTTAATTATCTTATTACAATCTCATACAAAATCCCCACAAAACTCACTCAAGGTACAAGCTTGAATATTCACACAAATACTTTACATACATATTTCTTACACCGAATACCACCAGCATACGATAGATTTTAGAGTTTCTAAGATAGGATGAAGGATTTTTTAGGGATTTTGAAGTGTCTCAACTCCTCTGTAGACCAAAATAGTGTCTAGCATCTTCTCTTGTAGACCTTGTGGCATTGTTGCAATCATGTCTCTCAAAGAATTCTTTGTTGGATTTTCAGGGCTCAGCGCATAGATCATTGGAACAATCGTCGAGATTTGCCTTTAAGTTCTGGATAAGAAATCCGGAAGGAAGTTGTCTTTTCCTTTGATATGCTTGACATCAAATTTCCATTGTGAAAACTAGCTTGCCTTTCTCAGTAGTTGTGCTTGCGGCAAGACTTTTTGCTTGAATTGTATCATCTTTGGAAACGAGCACATGTCCATCTCTATGAGAAAATGTTGACCAACCAGATGAAACTCAAACTTCTCTATTCCTCGTTTAACCGCAAGAATCTAGTTGTGGAGATATTTCCCTTTCCATATATTAATTATGGGATCTGAATTTGGTTATTACCAACTTAAACAAATAAAAAATCGTGTTTGTCTA